ATATACATACAATATTTACTGAGAAATGGAGAAAAATTTTAATTTTTCAAAAAGGGGTGTACTCAATTACACCATTAAGCAAAGTTTTAACAATCAATGTTTAGAAAGGCTTCTTGATTATTTTATCTTTTACTCAATAAACTGAGGCCTATTTTAAAACTGTTCAGATATAATGTCAAGATTTTGCTGCTCTGTGAAAGAAAATACATTTTTTTACATAAAAGGTTTTATTAGCAAGGAAATTGCTGCTCTGTCTACATTTTTAAGATAAAAAGGTGCTTTATTAGCAATTAATTAATGAAAGAATCATTTTTACAGAATTTTACTTTTCGTAATATATAAAGCCCCTTTTTTGGAATTATATTACTTTACTGCATTGGCAATTACGACCAAAACAGAACAAATCTCATTCTGAAAAGCACCGTCAACGCTTTTTTGTTATAAAGGTATGTATTAATACATTGTTTATGATTTATCTGTGAAATTAATTGGAAATAACTGATGAAAATAACAACAAAATGCTAATTATGTTTAAATAGAGAATGTAATGCAAATAAGATGATCTTATGATCTAAATTAGCAATATAATGTACAATATAAAATATTAATGCATAGTTTAAGGGGTTTTAACAGCCATAAAATAAAAAAAGCATCAAAATGCAAAAGAAAAATGTAAAAACATAAAAAGGAAACTAAAATAATCATGATTAAATGCCCAAAACGTGTTAAAAATGGCTAAATATTTCAATATCATGATGATTTTGGGGTAATATGTTGTACAAGTTATTAAAATAGTCATAAAATGTATATTTAAAAAAGTAGGCTTCTCTTTTTAATGCAAAATGCATTCAATTGATGTGTCTGCGTTTGGTCTGAACAGAGCGACAGCGACTCGCGCGTCTGTGTGTCTGATGACTGTCTGGTTCAGCGTCTGGGTCAGCTCATGAATATGCAGATGTGAAGTGTCAACATTTACATATTCATTTCCATCTGCATATTTTACCCTCTGCCCTCTGACCCTTCCTCTCCTGTGTTTGGCTGTGTGCGCGCATGTGTGTAATATGTGTATAACGAGTGCGTGTGTGTCTATGAGTGTGAATAGTGAGTGGGTTTGTGTGTGTGTGTGTGTGTTGTTCAGCAGGGGTCATCTATGGTCATGCGGGCAGCTTCTGGATGGTTCTGTTGTAGTTTGCAGTGGTGTGTGTGTGTGTGTGTGTGTGTGTGTGTGTGTGTGTGTGTGTGAGTGTGTGAGCGTGTGTGTGTATGTATCGGTGTTCAGCAGTGGTCAGTCCTCCTGTATGGTCATGCAGTAAACTTCTGGATGGTTCTGTTGTAGTATGCAGTGGTGTGTGTGTGTGTGTGTGTGTGTGTGTGTGTGTGTGTGTGTGTGTGTGTGTGTGTGTATGTATGTGTTCAGCAGTGGTCAGTCCTTCTCTAAGGTCATGCGGTCAGCTTCTGGATCGTTGTGTTGTAGTGTGCAGTGGTGTATGTGTGTGTGTGTGTATGTGTGTGTTCAGCAGTGGTCAGTCCTTCTCTATGGTCATGCGGTCAGCTTCTGGATGGTTCTGTTGTAGTATGCAGTGGTGAGGGCCTCCAGTGGGCTCCAGCGGTGCGCGTGCAGCTCGATGACCTCCATCAGCAGCGAGCGGGTCAGCTGAGACTCAGACGGACACAGCATCTTATCCCGCACGGCAGCCAGCAGCTCCGTCATCATCTCCGGCAGCTGCTCCTCCAACAGCCGACCGGTGCTCTGGAGCTGCAGGAGAAAACACACACACACACACATCACATACACACCAGTAAATGTCATATTTAAGGGGATTTTCGCTGCATAGTACAGGTCGATAGGGTACAGCTAACACTTTACTTGAAGAGGGTGATCATAAGATTTATTCATATAATATATTCATACAACAGTTCTGTCTGGCTCTCAAATCTGATTGGCTGATAGCTGTGCGACATTCTAGTAATATCAGAACAAATCATTAACA